CCAAAACTAAGAATTTGCTCCTATCCATCAATATATAGCCCCTACAATCTTCCCTATGTTAGCAAATGGCTTCTCCGTTTTTCCACACCATAAAATCTTATTGAAACCCCGTCTCTTTCATATACCATACCTAATCCATTTTTAAAAAAATATTTATTTTTTAGTTGTAGTTGGACACAAAACCTTTATATTATATTTATATTATATTTATTTTTATGTGGTGCTGAGGATTCAACCCAGGGCCTTGCAGGTGCTAGGCAAGCACTCTACCATTGAGCCCCAATCCCAGCCCACCTAATCCATTTTGTAAAAATCAGTTTTTCTTAGCTTCAGAATGTATTCATAGTCCAGTGTGGGTCCAAGCCACTTCTTGTCTGACATCATGCTTTTTAAAACATAGGCCAAGGTGTGTCCACGATTGGCCAAGTCCCTCAATACCGCCCCATCTTCTCCACAACATTATCTTCCTCCCAGGGCTGATAAGGCCATAGAGGTAATCTGCCATATCTTTTGTACCTCCCTATCTACATCCACCACTCCACCTGACTCAGGATCTATGCCCTTGCTGTCATCCAGTCTGGAAATCTCTTCCGTTCACATGTCTGTATGACTTGCTCCTTCCTTTCCTTCAGGTCTGTGCACAAATATTGCTTTCCTCTCAGACACCTAAATAAAATCACCTCCAGCCACCACCACACCAGTCATTTTCTGCTTCACTACCTCTCTGGCTTCTCCAGTACTTTAAAGAATCCCTGACAAGTAGCAGTCACTCAGTAAGTATCTGTTGGATGAAAAACTGGATGAAAATTTTGGGATTTAAAGCTATTCAATTTCAATGTTGAACAAAAAAAACTGTCTCAAAAAATTTATCAGAAAAGTGTTTTCTTTCATATAGAAAATAAAAAACCCTCTAGACTTTCTTTTCTGGAACGCTATTGTGGATGGAAGGCACCTGACTCTGACCCCGTCTGTACTTTATAGCTCCATGAATCATCTTTACAGACCAAGTGGCAGGGTTGGAAGAGAGGCTGTTATATAGAATCTGGAGAAAAGAGGCATTTCAAAACCCTTAGATGTATACAGATAATGATCCATTTTAAGCTATTTTCATTGCACTAAGTGCAGTTTGGGGATGTGGGGAGAGAGTCTGAATTTTGTTTTCTGATCTAAATGTTTAAAAACCACAACAATTTTTCCCTCAAAAGAAGTAGTAAACAACAGTAAAATTATTCCTCCTCAAAAAAAGCCTAATGACATTTTGGGTCTTAATCTTCCAAGTGACCATGGTTCTGAGGCCTCTCTGGGTGGCCTCTAACATCTGTATATATTCAGCTTCACTGAATGTTGTTGCATGAAGTTTCATTGTAGGAAATTGACACATGCCTTCTGATGAATTAATTTATTGTTTCACTCAGTCTTGTAAAGGGCACACCTTGTAGTTTCAATTTGTTCAATCATGTATTTTCCTGCTCATTTAATAAAAGAAATATTTTAAAAAATAAAGAAAGAAGATAGTGAAATGATGTAATATGAAGCAGTATATGACAGTGAAAGAATTTTTTTGTTCCTCTATTATTTTCTGTGTCTTTTCACAAATCTGTTGAGATGAAGGATAATATATAATTCCTTCTAAAAAGCCAAGGTCAAGGTCTTAATCAATCTTTTCCAGGACCAAAACCATTTTGTGGTTCCATGGTGCTTAGTTGCACATTCCTGAAATCTTTTAAGGCATTAGTCCCCAGGTGCAGATGGGGAATGTGAAACAGATGCTAAGAAATGCACAGAGTGTCAGTGACAATCCTTGTGGACAATCACTCAAGTTGTTACAATACAATAAATGTTTTCAAAATGAGTTCTCAATAATTTACATGAAAAGACTATTTTAGAGTGTTGGTTTTCTTTTTCATTGTATTTCACCAGCTTGAACATATATTTTTGTAGTTTCATAAGCAACTATGTCCATGTTTTGTGACAATAACAACTTGATATAGGGTCACTGCCTGCAAAAAAAAAAAAAAAAAGAAAGAAAGTCATGGTTTCCAAAATTCAAAGTTAACTTGCCAAGTGATGGCAGAAGTACCAAGAGCAGCAACTCCATGGTCTGAAACATTTTCCAGCCCTGCATCTGGCTCCAAGATTCCAGGTTATCTTTTATTTTTAACCCATTCAATAAAAGAGGGATTTAGAGCTAGAAACTATCACTTATGCAGAAAAAAACAGAATAACCATTCACGATTGGACTCCAATCAATCAGTGCAGGCCAAAGTCATCACCAGTCAAGGCAAAATAACCACAAAGGACAACACTGAGTTATTAAACTCGCCAGAGATGAACTTATGTTACTGTAAAGATGCATTTGAGTCCTGATTTCTGGCCCCAGCCCCACCACCACCTCCCCCCAAAAAGAGGCATTTGAGAGCTGACTGTGATAAGCAGTAGCTGTTTACTTTATTAAATGTTCTGGTTTGGCAAAATTAAAAGTTGGAAGCCTTTTTGTTGATCTTCACAAGATTTGGAGTTGGGTGGGGGAGGCTTCAATTATGTTTTTTATATTTTCCTAACCAATGGGGCGGAGTATGTGGCAACTATTGTAGACTACTTGTAAAGTTCTAGACATTTCTTCAATATCAAAATATACTGCCCATGTCCAAATCAATGGGGTAAATATAAATATAAAAACATCAACAGCATCACCCAGTACCCCACTGGTGTCCAAGATTTAAACTTATGTTGTTGGCTTCCACAAAGTAAGTGGTAACTAACCTCATGTGGCATTCCAGAAACTTCTACAGGCTGTAGTGCCAACCTAGAGGGAGCATGCTGTGAGATATAAGATGCCACAAAGCTCAAAATTTATCAGCTAACTGCATCTAGGTAATCTTATTAGCCCAAGAAAGATTGGCTCCCAAATATTTTAAAATATAATTAGTTCCCATCACAACTACTTCAGCAATTTAAAAGCAAGAGAAAGTTCAGTGACACGTTTCGGTGAAACTCAAAAAATATTTTTAAAAGCCACATTCATTTGAAAAACAATGTTTCTACATGAGTCACTTATCTACAAACAATGCATAGTCTACACTGCGATTGCTGGACCCCTTACTATATATAACTCTGAAACTCCCAGCCCTGTTGAAGTTCTAACTCAGAGTTTAGAAAACAAAATTATGCATTTTCCCTAAAATCTCCCATTTGTGACTTGATTTTTGTGTTTTATGTCGATGTTTCAATGTGGACAATGTTAACGATCATTGGTTCAGATCATTTTAATAAGGCTGCCTTAATCACTTTCAGTTGTCAAAGGACTCAAAAAAATCATAGTATTTACTTTGCCTGTTATATGTCATATTATTTTTGAAGTATTCAAAGCAGCTAAGATCTCACTTGACAAGACATTAAGGAAAACTTAGCATGTCCTATTCATGCCACAGAAAGAAGGTAGCCATGCATTTATCAGCACCTGTTCTGTAGGAGGCCCACGCTGGATGCTGGGGTAGGACCCACTGAGGAAGCTGGGCCCTGCACTTGAGCTGCAGTCTCCATGTATTGCAGCTGAGATAGAGAAGGCAGGGACTGGAGAAAAATGTGCTCTGAGGCAAGAACAAAATTCAGAGTCTATTTTCTGATAGAAGAATGCAGGAACTTCTATGGGACCAAAGAGAAAGGGGCCTCTGCCTAGAAGGGCTTCAAGGAGGAAATGGCCTTTGCCAATTTATGGGAAAGGAAAAAAAGGTTTTCTAACCAGCAGGAGCTTTGAGCAAAGGCACAGAGGAATGGAAAAAAATGGAATGCTCACGTGGGTGCAGAAGGGGCCAGTAGTTCAGCAAGACTAGAGAAAATACTGGAAGAGCAGGAAAATAAAATCCTTCGAACACATGAATATACAGCACATTCTCTTGACCCCTATGCCCATCCTTCTGACAAGCCACAGGTGGTTCAGAATCCTGATTCAGCCAGCTGCCTGCCCCCTGGTGGGCAATGTTTGGTGAATGGATATCAGCATCAGTTAGGAACGGCCATGATGCCCAAGTGTGGGGGGAAGCTCTCCCACTTGCCCATCCTCTTCCCAAGGAGTGGGTCGTTTTGCCTGTGCAGTTCTGATCTTTCTTTCAGTTGCTTCCTGTAGAACTTCCTGGAGAAATTTCCAAATTTTCTCACTGAACCCCAGCTTTGAAGGATGAAACTGTTCTGAGACTCAAGAGAGTTAGAAATAACTTGCTCAAGATCTCAGGGTGAGTAGTTATAGAATAAAAATCAGAAGTTGGCTCTTTGGATTTCTAGGCTAGAGCTCTTTCTGCCAAAGCACTCCAGTGATAATGAGGGGATGAAGGGCATCTTTTTTTGAAATAAAGAACCCTCAGTAACATCTCACCAAAGAGCATTTAGCCTCTGTGACTTCACAATCGAGGCTGTAAATGTCAATGACAGCACCCTGGGAGCAGGCTGAAATAAGAAAATAAATTGAGAAGGGGAAAGCTGAGCAATGGAACATTTTTCCTAAAATAAACAGAATAATAGACTCTGAAGTCAGAATACATTATGCCAGTTGGGTGACCCTAGATAAATCACCTCTCCAAGCTTCTGTTTTGTTTCCTAAAGAGGGATAATGAGCCCAGCCCTACCTGCGTCACAACTGCATGCTTTCACATCAGATCTTGGTAAATTTTGCCCCTAGTTGTTCTTATAACATACCAATAAAATCCAAGAAAAAGTTTAAAGGAATGACTACATAAAAAGAATACCATATTACTGTTAGGGTGTATGTCCATCTGTTTATCTAAAAAGGGAAACATCTGTATATGTTGTCTATGTCACTCTCAACACCCAAACTCATATTTTCCCTCCCCTCTCCCTTTTATAGAATAAAAACCAAATTACTTTTTATTGACTTTCTACTGATTGATGCAGATTTCCATCTGGTGCTTTTGGGTACTTCTGTATCAGCCTGCTTCACTCCTTAAGCTTTAATGCTTTAAAAAAAAAGATCAATGTAACTGTACCTCAAGGTAAGATCCTTTGTAAGAATGCCATCTTCAGACTGCAGTTTAGCCTCACCAACCAAGCAGTGGCTACAATCTACAGCTTCTTCCCTGATCTGTTTCCACCAACATTCCATCTTCCATCTTTGTGAAAGTTCACAATGACGATCAGGTAAAAGCATTACTTTATGCATCTGGTAGTGAGTTGCTTTTTTATTTTATTACTCAAAAAACTTTCCAGATAGCAATCATTTCAGTGTCTCAGCATCTGGAGCAGTTAGCTCCTCAGCAGAGCTGGCTCTACAGCAGCAAACTCATAGATTAAAATGCTAAGTGAAATCCATAAGGACAGTAGATGAGTCACATTGGGTGCTCTGTGATGAGGACAAAAGGATCAGGGATGCTCTGATGTGGGGACTACCTCTTGGCCAGGATTATAATGACTAGAAATAAACTAGAAGAAAATTTGTCACTCAGGATGCTTACATATGGAACACTCGGAATTTCTCTCTGCTACTTAGACTGAAGCCATCAACAAGGGACCTGCCTGTTGTTCTTGCTGTGCTCTCTTACATGTCCTGAAAATACAAAATGGTGAATCTATAAGGAACAAAGCTTAACCCTTCAGATGCCATAGCCCCAAGCAGTTAAGTGGCTCCTTGTGACCTGGAGGGCGGCAGCAGCACTGGGACCAGGCAGTGCCCTTCCTACTCCGTCTGAGCTCTCACCCTTACAGTGCTCCCCCTGGCGAAATGGATGGAACCTCTTGCTCCTGTCGGTGGCAAAGATAGGGCAATGGCCCTGGTGTATGTTATGTCCATGGAGCCTGCCCCTGGTGCTTGCTGGACTCTTTCAGTGGGCTCAGGTAAGGGAAACACGGAACTGTGCTCTTACTGAAGCAAAACGAGGCGATTTCCCTTTCAGTTCAGCCTGGCACCTGAGGAGAGTTTGAGAAGAAAGAAGGAAAAGAAATGGGGACAAAGGGTGCAGCCTCGGGGCAGACTGCACACCTTGGGAGGAGAGGGTTGCCACCACAAGCCAAGGCTCCACACTGCAGCTGCCCTGAACATCCCTATGATACCGCCGGTTATCGGTGACAAGTCCTGCTACCCGACATGTTGAAGTTTGAACAATAGAGAAGCATGCAGAGGCAAGCATATAAAGCAGGGTTTATATTTAAAGGGGTAACATATACTTTTCCCTGGAGGGAGAAGGGGGCCATAGCTGGTATCCTGGTATCCCAACAAGTGAGGGCATTCTGCCTTTTTTATATGTCCTAGACATCCTTTGTTCTCCTGCTCTCTTCCCCTTATCGCTCTCCTTCCTGCATACCTACCTACATGACTACACCCAGGAGATGCTCAGTGAGATGACCAAAAAGGTGAGAAGCAGATAGGTTGGAGGGGTCAAACAGGAAGAGGGCATAATTAATAATTCCCTGTAGGGACAATGCCTGGGACAGGTTACCTTAGCAATGGGTTGGAGCAGGGGCAGGTTACCTTGATTCTGGCTTCACCTAGATACTCCTAACATTGCTCCCAGGACTATGGAAACAGCTTTGTCTACTTTGCAGAAGCACTGACCTTCAATTCTGGACATTCTCACTTAAATTACTGAAGAAAGAAAAGGACTGTTTCCTCTCTCCTCCAACTACCACAAACTGCTTGCACAATTCCATGTGCCCTGCTCTAATACAGGAAGTGACTTCAACTCATAAAGAAGAGGGAACTTTTTTTTTCCTTGGGGATCGAACTCAGGGGCAATCAACCAGTGAGCCATATCCCCAGCCCTATTTTGTATTTGTTTAAAGATAGGGTCTCACTGAGTTGCTTAGCCTTGCTTTTGCTGAGGTTTTGAACATGCGATCCTCCTACCTCAGCCTCCTGAGCCTCTGGGATTAATCACCGTGTTGGGCAGAAGAGGGAACTTCTGTTTGGGCTTATCACACCAATCTTGCCACTGTTCTCAGCAGGTCAAAAGAGACACTGGAAGTCAACATTTAGTGTTCACACACATTGGGGATTTTCTGGGGAGAGTGGAGCTTATTGAAGCTGATTGTGTTTCTTAGAGATTCATAAGACAAAGGACTGACTGGGTCAACAATTATTCCACCACCGAGTTGCACCATCTGCTTGTTACAGTACATTCCTGGAACTCTGGAAAACAGCTGACAGAAGAACCCTTTCTCCCTGACTCTGCTCCATTTATTGGTGACCTATTGGTCAACAGCACAGAGCAACATTGTTTGTTAAACCTTAACAATGACCTCATGATCTTCGCTCCCACTTTCTTATGTCAACCTCATAAGCCTCCCTCAGCACCCAACAAATGAGCAGTAAACGGTTTTCAAGGCAATGACAGAAAATAGCACAAAGAGTATCTGAAATGATTAACCCGCTGACATTAAAGAGACAAACTCATAACAGAAAGATGCCCTGCAGAGTTACTGTGGCCATTTAGGCATATTTGACTAAAAAAAAAAAATGGTTTGGAACAGAGACTTTTAATAGACTTAAAATGATTCGAGAATTGCAAACAAAAATTTTCTGCATGCCGCAGTGCCATTCAATTTAGATTGAATTGCCTGGTGATTAATTAATTTAGAAAAGTGTTCACGGAAAAATTGCCATAGATTCACAACTGTCAAAGGAATTTGCCACACATTGTTGAACCTCTGAGGCATGAACAGCATAAATTTAGGGGACGCCTGCTTAGTAAGTGACCCCTTGCTCTTTTAATTAGAATTGCCCTCGTTGCCAAATATCACAAGCTCCAGGCTGAAAGAAGGAGCAGCACTTACCTAGCTAGGCAACCAAGAGGGACACAGGACCTTGTGTTAACTTCTGAAGAGGATATTAGATTGAGAATAATCAATCACAGAAACTGAAGGCAGAAAAATAACAATAGCTGACATCAGCAAGTGATTATCATGTGCTGGGCTTTGTTCTAAGCACTACATCCAAACAATTTTATTTAATCCTTACAACAATCCCATGAAGCAGATACTACTCCCATCTTGCTTGTGAAAAGACTTAAAAGAGATTGTCTAATTAGTTTTATAGATAATGTTTAAAAAAAAAGTTAAGCAAGATTTACCCATGACCAAATGACCTTACCCTTGCAGAGGGAAAACCAAATCAGGTCTCAGTCCTATTCCAGTGCTCCAAACTCTTGTGAGCATGAATTGCATTTTACAAGATAATTTGGGTTCATATGAGACAAAACCATTCCAGGAAAGGTAATCTCGTCTTCCTTAACAAAACCAGAGCCAGTAAGTTAAAGGGGTCAGGCAGGCATTGTCTGGCCTGCAAAAATGGCAACACATTCAGTCCTTTCTCAAGTTCTTTCTTAAACCAGCAAGGGTCTAGGGTGCTGGGAAAGGGTATCCAGACACCCAAGTTTAGACCGAGAAATTTGGTGCCACTTGCTATAGATTTCTATGTCATACTAAAAAAAAAAAGCAAACTAAGAGAAGCTTCTTGATAAGCAATTACATTAAAACTACATTGTAATAGGATCCAGGGAAACAAATAGAAGTCTAAAAGAGGATGGTGGATTGAACTAGCAAACTTCAAACTACAGGTGATTTCTGAGGAGGTATCCAAGGTGGATCCAAGGTGGTGGCAGAGGGTCATTTTTTATTTTTCTATATCTTATTAAAATTTCCTAATGAGAATGGCCTAAGTATGTGCGTTTAACTTGATATTAAAATAAAGCAAATATTTTTGAAAGCAGCAAAAGAAGTAAACAAAGGGTGGAAACAGTACCTACACTTGGACAAGCTATTTCATCTGACACCTATGGCCCCAGCATGGGCCATTACAGGGCTTGTCAAGAAGTCTTGACAGTCCCAGTCCCAGTGACCAGTACTGTTTCCTCTGCCCTGTACCTGATGCCACATTTGGGATATGATCAAAAGATCCCACAGGACTTAAAGCCAACAATAATGTGTTATATACTTAAAAATTAAGAGGGTAGATCTCAAGGTAAGCATTCTATGACAACTAAAAAAAATACAAGTAGTTCTATAATGGCACTAATGAAATGATAATTTCTGGTTCAGAAATTGGTCATTTATCTTGCTGGTCATTATGTTCAAATTAAATGAAACAATATACTACAAAATTATTCTATCCTTATCAACAAATATGTAATATGAAAAAAAATGAATTATGGCTCAGAGAAATCTCTAATATGTTAAATACTCTCTTTTGTGTGTGTGTGTGTTTCTTAAGTAAGTTATAGCCAAAGAATTTAAACAAAGGAGGGCTGGAGTTATAGCTAAGTGGCAGAATGCTTGCCTAGCACGTATGAGGCATTGGGTTCGACTTTTACCACCCCATAAAAATAAACAAATAAAGGCATTCTGTACTTCTACAACTACAGGAGAATTTTTTTAAAAAAAGAAAGAATTTAAACCCAGGAAAAACTTTTTCTAAACTGTTAGAAAACTAATAAGTTTTCTATTAAGTTCTAGGCCCTAGTTCTCCTGTTCTCCGTGGTTAAGAATGGGAGCTGCACACTGTGCATATTATAAGAGCTATAAGAACAGTCATATTATACACAGAGGGCCAAAAATATGTGAAAAGGTGTTTAATATCCTTAGCAATCAGGGAAATTAAAATCAAAACTACACTGATATTTCATCTCATTCCAGTTAGAATGGCAAGAATAAAAGAACAGTAACTGTGGGCAAGGGGGGCAGGGGGAGGTACACTTATGCGTTGTTGGTGGGACTACAAATTAGTACAACCACTTTGGAAAGCACTATGGCGATCCCTCAAAAGACTAGGAATGGAACCACCAGATGACTCAGATATACCACTCTTGGTATTTACCCAAAAGACCTAAAATCAGCATACTAGAGTGATACATGCATACCAATATTTATAGAAGCACAATTCACAAGAGCCAAATTCTAAAACCAGCCTTGGTCTCCATCAACAGACAAGTGATTAAAGAAAATGTGGCATATGTAAACAATGGAATTTTACTCAGCCATAGGAAAAATGAAATTTCGTAAGTTGCAGGTAAATGAATAGAACTAGAGAACATCCTACTAAATGAAATAAACTAGATTCAGAATGTCATGGGTTGAATGTTTTCTCTCGTATGTAAAAGCTAGGAGGGGAGAGAAGAAATATTAAAAAGTATAACAGGAAATCTCATGAAAATAGAAGAAAGACCAACTGGGGGGAGAAAGGAAATCGAGGAGGAGGGGAGGACAGGGGGAAGAATGAGGAAATGAAGTCAACCAAATTATGCTGTGACTATATATGAATATACAATTATAATGCACT